ACAGATTTTAAAAGGAACAAGGCTAGGATGAGCCCTATACTGCTGGACTGGAATTGGAGCTATCATGATAAACTCATGCCTGTTTAGACAGATATAAGATAAAGAGGTGTGTGCATGTGTTTGTATAAAATATTTAGCTTTATCTCTTGACAGATATATATCCTCTAAAAGAAACTAGGGCTTCCTGAAGAAATAGCTTACCATGGCTAGGTAGGGTAGGAGTTATCTTATTACACCAGAAAATAATAGAGTATTCAGAAAATGATTAGTACTCATCAAAAGGACACAGAAGCCAGCCTGATGGAGCTCTGATAGGTCAAACCTGAGAAGTATCAAAAAAAAAAAAAAAAAAGCAAATAATAAAGAACCCATGAGTTCATAATGATAATGCATACATACATAAAAATGGAGGTAAAGAAAAGCTCTTACAGAACACCAACTAAGAGGTAGACATGACAGACTTAGAAAATTGCCATTTGGCAACCATATTAGTACTGATTCAGGCAAGAAATGAACATATATCAAAACAAATGGAAAAGGTTTGATGGTATTTTTAACACTTGCATTAAAATATCTCCCCTTAAAATACATGTTACAAGAAAATGGAGAAACCTTATAGATAACAGTTTCCCTTTAATGAGATAAATGGACATTATATGCCTACTGATATGGTGTATAGAGAAAAACATAATATCACTTCCGGAATATTCCTGCCAAAAATGCACAACCTGAACCTAATAATAAAGAAACAGCAGACAAATCAATATTGAGTGAATTCTAACAACTGGTTTATTCTTACCAAATAACATCTCAAAGTCATAAAAGACAACAAAAGAATAATCAACTGTTCCAAATTAAAGGAGACAAAGCTAATGAATGTTAAGGTATGTGTGGTATAGGAATTATTCTATTAAGGACCATACTAGTACATTCTGTGAAACTTGAAAAAGATTTTCAGATAACATAATGGGTGCTAATTTCTCAAGTTTGATAACCATGATTAAATAATGTTTTAAGAAAACATACACAGCTATTTAGAGGTAAAGAGCACCGTGACTGGAATCTACTCTAAAAATATTCAGAAAAAAAGGTTATGTGTGTTCATGTATAAATGGAGAGAAAGAATAAGAAAGCAAATATGGTTAACAGAAGGTAGAGAAATACAGCTGAAATAGTCACAAAAAATATCCTCCTTGTAATTTTTCTATAAATGTGAAATTATAGTTTGAAAGAATGAAGGAAAAAATGAGGTTAATTTATATTTGCACATGCTGCCAGCAAAAAGTTATGAAAACATGAGTGATGGTTCTCCTTTACACAGAAAGGTAAGAAAAACATCTGCACGTTCAGTCCCTATTCTAATACCTACAAAACTCCATTTCCTCAGTAAAAATGGAAACTCACCTATCCAACCTTTCTCAAAAGTTATTCTTTAAGATTCATGGAAACATGAAGATGGACAGGGGAAAAGAGAAGAATCTAAAATAATACACAGGCAGCCCTCCATATCTGTGAGTCATGTGCATCAATGAATTCAACCAACCACAAGTCAAAAATATTAGGGAAAAATAACTCTACTGAACAACTTTTCTGAACATGCACTGTCATTATTCCTAAACAATAAACAATACCAACTATTTACATGGCATTTATATTGTATTAGGAATTGTAAGTAATACACAGATGATTTACAGCACAGAGGAGAATGTGTTTAGGTTATATGCAAATACTATATAGTGTCATTTTATACAGGGGATTTGAGCATCTTGGGACCTGCATATCTCCAAGTGGAAGGGTTATCGTGGAATCAATCATCCTTGAACACCCAGGGAAAACTATACTATAAAGTCATTCATTCTAACTAAAATGTTTGGTATAAAGTATAAGTACTTCAAAAATATATAAGCCAGACTTTTTTCCATTATGGTGAGCAACTGTTACACAAACTAGACATTTGAAATATCAGATGTTTTAGTTTGTAAAGATTTCATTTATTCAAGATTCATTTGAAAGGGAGAAAAGATTAAGAAAAAAAAAATCTTTGATGCCATGGCTGAGTGTATAGCTTAATGGCAGAGTACATATTCACCTGCCCAGGGGTCCAAGTTCAATCTCCAGCATAGAAATAAAATACTTTTAGGGTTTGGGTTGTAGCTCAGCAGTAGAGCATCTGCCTAACACGTGTGAGGCACTGTGTTCCATCTTCAGCACCACATAGAAATGAATAAATAAAGGTTTTGTGTCCATCTACTACTAAAACAAATATTTAAAAAAAAAAAAAAGAAAGAAAGAAAAAAAAATAGGGCTGGGTATATGGCTCATGGTAGAGTGCTTGCCTGGAAAGCATAAGGCCCTGGGTTCAATTTCCAGCACCTCAAAAAATTAATAAATAAATAAAATACTTTTACTCCAAGATTTTTACCCATATGTCAAATATTCTGATAAATTCAATAATATCAATTTTTTCCATAAAACTGTATGGTATCAAAAACATTCCTAAATTTAAAAAAGACATTAACTAAGATTTGGTCAACCCTGGAGATACTGTGACCCAGTATCGCTACTAAATAAAGGTTTCTACATTTTTTCCAAAGTTCTTTTTTTTTAATATTTTTTAGTTGTAGATGAACACAATATATTTATTTTGTTTATTTTTTATGTGGTGTTGAGGATCGAACCCAGTGCCTCACGCAAGCAAGGCAAGCGCTCTACCACTGAGTTACAAACCCAGCCCCTATTTCCCAAGTTCTACACACTAAAGTACATGACCAAAACTGGTTTGTTCTTTATTCACAAGACTGAAATGAGCCCTGAGGAATCACACCAAATTCAGAAAATAAGTGTTTATAAAAACGATTTCAGCCGGGTGTGGTGGCACACGCCTGTAATCCAACTGGCTTGGGAAGCTGAGACAGGAGGACTGGAAGTTCAAAGCCAGCCTCAGCAACTTAGCAAGGGTCTACAACTCATCAAGATCCTGACTCTAAAAAAAATATAAAAAAGGGGCTAGGGATAGGGATGGGGATGTGGCTCAGTAGTTAAGCGCCCCTGGGTTCAATCCCTGGTACCAAAGAAAGAGAGAGAGAGAGAGAGAGAGAGAGAGAGAGAGAGAGAGAGATCTCAAATATTTCATATACTAAAGTCAAGGAAAAGTTTATTTTAAAAATAATTTATGGCCGGGTGTGGTGGCACATGCCTTTAACCCCAGCAGCTCAGGAGGCTGAGACAGGAAGATCACATGTTTGAAGCCAACCTCATCAACTCAGCAAGACTATAAGCAACCTAGTAAGAACTTGTCTCAAAATAAAAAATAAAAAGGGCGGCAATGGGGCTCAGGGGTTAAGAGCACACTTGGATTCAATCCCCAGTGTAAAAAAAAAAATTTAAAAATAAATTGTAAATTCATAAAGCTTTGGTCACCACTGAAAAGAAGTTGCATATAGAAACTGTATCTTGCCAAAAAAAGAAAACATCTTTAAAAGTTATATTAGTTATAATTCTAAAATGTCTCTGGAGGTTTTTTTTTTAAAATACATGACAGTAAATTTGGTATAAAATAAAATTTTAATGTTACTAGTCATAACTGCCCATTATTGGAAAAAGAGGATCATGTTCTTTTTTAAATACATCTACCTACTTAGTCTCTATTTTGACCAGTGGACAAGCAATCTGGCTCTGTGAGGAAAAATGCAAAATGCTGAAAATAGACCAGGTGTAAATGACACTAAAGAAAGGCAACCAACCCAGTCCACAGCAATGAAGCAATGAAGAGTTCGTATGCCTGCCCAGCCTCACCAGCTCTACATCAAGTACACTAAACACAAGACTAAAGAGGCAAAAGAGGGGCTGGGGATGTGGCTCAAGCAATAGCGTGCTCGCCTGGCATGCGTGCGGCCCGGGTTCGATCCTCAGCACCACATACAAACAAAGATGTTGTGTCCGCCGAAAACTAAAAAATTAATATTAAAATTCTCTCTCTCTTAAAAAAAAAAAAATGAGGCAAAAGAGAAAGGATCACAAGAACATAAGCTTCAACAAGATAAGGCTTTTTGCTGATCTGGTTTACCAATGTACCACAGAAGATAGAAAAATGCCTAGCACACAATAAGCATTCACAAAGAATAATACGAACGAATGAATGAAGGATGAATGGTTTTTAAGTAAATCTACATAAATTATATTACATTGCAAAATTATTTCAAAAATGAATTTGGCACACATTAACTTAACAATCATACTAGAAAACATGAATAATCTATTCTGCACTCTGACTAAATGAAGTAATTTCAAAGTTTCTAAGATATTTCTTTGCCTACTGTGGGTAGCATAATACATTTGCATATCCCTCCCTAAGTTTAAAATATGGTTTATCAAAAACTTTCATAAAACAGTTAAAAGGATGAAATAAACTCATAAAATAAAAACCAGAGGAAACACATCGTATTTGCATCAAACTTGAGAGTTCATACAAGAAATCACAGGATCTAAAACATTTCTCATCATCATTTACTTTCATAACTAAAGTAACTCTATCACAATCTGTTCCTCTATGATTTAGTCTTTTTTTATTTCTCCATTCCTATATTTGTCATCTTATAGTTTGAAGAACTTCTTCAAAAAATAAAATGTATTTTATTTCCAACCATCAAATTAAGAGCTCTGCAATTTGCTCATATCAAATAGTTATATTTCTTTTATTAAAAAAAAAAACCATAAAATTAGGTGGAGCAGAATGCAAGTAAATTTAACAAGAGTTTATATATGATTTATGTTCACTGCTAAACGCAAACCACACCCCCCATGGAAGAAATTTTACAATTTCTTGCAAATAAATTCAACTTATTTCTTACATGCTCTCTTTAAGATTACTAACATGTTCTAAGTGACAAACTTCATTTTGCTTCCAAGTACCACCCATATAATCAATATGTCATTTCACTATCAATTTAAACCTAACATTTTCCAAAGCGCCTGCCTTACGTGGATTATAATCATCTTACTATGCTTCTTGTGTCCATGCTGCTGGAAAAGCAGTCTGTACAAGCAGGAGTAGAGGCACAATCCTGAGAGAGAGGAGTAGAGAAAGATGTTGAGAAAACAAAACCAGATAAAATGAGCTCACTTAAGAGTTCAGGAGCTCAGCCAGTGTTCATGGTCAAGGTTGATTACATTTTCTCATACCCTTATGAGTTAGAAGTTGTCCAAAAACAGCACAATTGACTCTAGAAAGAGATACCTGAAATTGTATATGTAAGCAGTAATATCACTTATTCTAAGCTACCCATATATGCTTTTTTAAAAGAAACAATCAATCATAAAATATATAAGTATTTAGGAGATTGGGGATAAAGAAATTCTCTAAAAGTTCATCTAAATTACTGTAACAAACCCAATGGTAGTTTAGTATAAAATGGTTGAATGATATGTGTAACGTAGATTTCAATCTTGCCAAAAAAAAAAATTATATGTAATCCTGAATGATTAAGACATTCTCAAAGCATTCAGTTTCAAAATCATCAGTATCAATCTCTCAATTATCCTTGTATCCTCAATTTTTTAAACTGGTCTTTTACCATATCATCATTTTAAAATGAAGAAAACAGAGTATAATTACTAAACAACATAAAACCAAGATGGATTTAACCCCACTAGAATTTTCAATCAAAAAGTCCCCGCCCCTCCTTTAGTAAAAATTATAATCAGATAAAAATTTTAAATTTAAAAATTTCCACCTAATCTCCTATATTCCTACAGTGCCATAAAAATAACCTTTACAGTACTGCTTAGGCATAATAAATCCTCATAAAATTAACTTTATATTAAGTTAGTCAAAGAATTGTACCACTAGCAGGGAATCTAAATGTAAAATCAAATCAGTAACTTATTTAAAAACCAAATATCGAAAAATGCTAACTACCTTGGCCAAGGTCATTCAGTTACCTAGTTAGTATATAACCCATCCATTCATTCAAGAACTTTTTTGTTGGTATGTACATGTACTACTGATTAAAGTGCTGTCCTGTGTACCAAGGATATGAAGCAATGAGAATATATAGTCATTCTTCTAATTCAGTGGCAAAGACTAATTATAGTAAACACTGGAAGGGAAAGTACAGATGTCTTTAGACACTTGAAAGGAAATCTCAATCAGTGGTTCTCAATCAAGGTCATTCCCCAAAGATGGTAATACCTGGAGACATTTTCAGTTGTCACAAATGGGGAAAGTGCTAGTGATATCTAGTGGGAAAAGGCCAGGGATGCTGCTAAACATTCTCAAGATGCAGGATCATGCCTCACAGCAAATAGTTACCTAATCCAAAAGTCCAACAGTATCAACACTGAGAAATCCTGATCTGAACCAGAGGGGTTAGGGAAGGCTTCCTTCCTCTACAACTTAAGTATGCTACTTCTTTAAAGCATTTTACCAAGGTGATAACAAATATGGCCTGACACAATTAATCAGAACTCCCACTATAAAATAAACACAGGAAAGAATAATGAGAAGTTCCCTAGTAGATGAAAATCAAAGAAAAGCACAATGTTTCAGAGTTGCTTCATGTAAATTCTCTTTCCTGAACAATAGACAAAGAAAAAAACATACAAATTGAAACAAATATGTTTTTATTATTCTCGCTACCTTTTCCACTTTTCTCTACCAAACCAAGGCTACTCCTTGATACTGGTGAGAAGATTATAAAAAGTCCCATAGTTTAGACAAAATGAATACTCTCTGGATACAAAACTGAAAATGAAGGAAAACAGAAATGGGTTTCACTTTGTAGACAGGAAAATGTACTGGATATTAGACTGAGTCTGAAGTTTGTATCCTGTTAACAGTTTCAAGAGTAAGCTACCTAATCAAAGGATCTGAAGGACAAAAGACACCAAGTATTTTAAGTGTCCTAAAGGTAAAAGGTAACAAAATCCTTTCAGAGTTTATGAGCCAAGGTAAATCCAAAAATTAAACTGAAAAAAAGATTTCTGATACATCTCAAACCTACAGATCGAGTCCTACATCTTCCTACTCAGTGTATTCAGGGTAGCAAGAGAAATGGATCATGGCGGGTAGGGGGAGAATGGAGTAGTGCAACTAGCTATACAAAGAAGCTAAAAAAAAAAAATTGAACACTGATTAAGATTTACTGCTAATATTTTGGAGTGTGACAATACTGGGATTATATTTTTTTAAGATTTTAAAAATTATAAAAATCCAACACATAAGTCTCACCTCCTCTAGCTACTTCGTGTAAGCACAATCAATGCTAACAGGCTCTTATATTTTTCATATATTACTTTAAAATGCTTTTTTTAAAAAAAATGCTTTCTCCGAATTAATTTGAAATTTTCTAAAGGAAAGGTCAGACATTGTCATTCTCTTTCCTTCCCTTCTTTTCAAAAAGGAAGCAGAGGCAGAGAGACTCTACCAGAATGATCTCCATACAGTGATCATTCTTAAATACAGAATATGGATGTGTAGCTCACATATAAAACTGCTACTTTCCAGTAGTCAACCATAGTCCTAAAGAGGACCACACATTTAAATAGTTCAGCATGTATCACCTACCATACCCTAGGTGAAACTCTAACATTAGAACAAGTAAATACTACAACCATGGAGCAATAAAATTATAATACCTTATTATGATAATTCTTCAAAGATTAACTGGTCTGGTCATTGACTCTTAGAGAGTCTTATCTTCCAACATAGGCAAATTTACTTCCATTATTTCAAAACTGACAATAGCAGCCATGGGATGCTTTGATCTCAGTGATGATGCTTAAATAGAAATTATTGTTTCCATACAAAATTAGCACACTGAGCACACAAAAATCATTTTTTGAGCCTAAATGTCATACAATTCATGATAATTAAGGGGAATTTACCACATAATTCTTGAAAGAACCAGAATCCTTTTGAGAAATTATAATGGTAGGGGAGATATGATAACGATACATACATATCCTATAAAAGATCAGGATTTTCCACAGACTAAACTCACATTTTGCAAAATTTAAAAATCTACATTCTTAGCTTAAAAATGTAGCATGTTCTTATTTTCAAGCCAAAATTCTCTGCAAAATTAAAACATGCGTGGGGAAGTTCAGTTTGGGAAAACCTGAGAATTAGCAAGACATAGAATCTGAGCATTCATATTTCAAACATCTTAAACATTGATAATTTCAGACATAAATTTCTATGCTTTATAAAGCAAAAGGAATTTCTTGACAATTCAATGCTTCAAAGACACCTTTAAATTTACCAAAGTTCTGATGAACTGAGCCGAAGGATAAATGCTTTTAAAAGCCAAATTCATTATAAGCAAGCATTCTAAAACATCACTTTTTCTATAACCCAGATTCCTATATTTTCATACTTTACAACATGATTTAGTGGAACACATTAATTCATAAACTTTTTACTATAACAAAAACATTCACTAATTAACAATATTCAATTTTATAATCGATCTTTTTAAACCAAAAAAATGCATATTCTGAGTCTTACTCAAACATATTTCCTTTCCTCAACCCTGACTCCATACTGCTAGTTTTAAGCTAACCCCATCTTAAAACATAAACTTACAGCATTATCAGTAAATAAAGTTTAAAGACTTTTCTTTGTAACTTAAAAGGGGAGTGAGAGTGCTACATATACACTAAAATAGGACTACCAAAAATCTCAAGTTCCTATAAAGATTAGATAAGAAACAGAGGTGGTAAACTCAGCTAGGCATGTAAATGTTAGGCCCCTCATACTTAACCAATACTTAAAAAAAAAAAAAAAAAAAAACAGTGATATTTCTTCTCTACTATGCTTTATTGTGACCAACCACAGTGCACTAACCATTAGGTTACCACTTGAGGGCTCCTGTAAACCTTCTGGGGGGGGGGGGTGGGTAGAGGGAGAATACATAATACAAAACTCCTAAACAAAGAGAGATGCCCCTAAAATGGAAGGGAGTTTTTAAAAACCTTAATATTAGTGCTGCAAATACTATATGTAGCAAATAAAAAAGCTACATAGCTATTTTTCTTCCTGTACAGTTGTGAAACTATTAACAAATTAAACATATAGTATCACTAAATTCTTGTTTCATATTCTAAGTACAACAAAGTATTGGGTGCGAGAGCCAAATTTTATGTGAAGATATTTGTCCCAAAATTATCAGGTATGAATTCATAAATAAAAAGAAAAGATTCCCTTGGGCTGGGGATGTGGCTCAAGTGGTAGCGCGCTCGCCTGGCGAGCGTGCGGCCCGGGTTCGATCCTCAGCACCACATACAAACAAAGATGTTGTGTCCGCCGAAAACTAAAAAAATAAAATATAAAAAAAAAAAAAAAAAAGAAAAGATTCCCAAGTCTATTGCTCTAATTTTTATTAGTAAGCTGTTTTAAAAAAATAAAGCTCTAGTACTAAAAAAAAAAAAAAAACAAGTCTGTCAGATCAGGCTGGGCAGGCAGCAACCAAGTCGCTGCCACCGACCTAACAAAGTCCTTTGCAAAAAAGTTCATACAAGTGTCACCACTATCTAGTCTAATATGGAGGGTCCTATTCACATAATGTAATCTAACGTTTAGCCTGTTTGCTAAGCTACCCAAATGCTATTTCTTAAAATGTAAAAAATAAAATAAAATAAAATTGTAAATGGGCATTTAAAAGTGTTGTTATATTTGGGTGATCATAAATCTAGTATTTTAAGAAGTCAGTATTTAAGACATTAACAATTACATTATTGAATGTATTAGCATTTCCAAATCAAAAGTTCATTTAAAAACTATGCTAACTTAGTTACCAACACGTTGGAGTATTTTTTAAAAGGCATACAGATTGGAAAAATATTTCTGTTGTGTGACTGTTTACCTGATGTTTAATGTTTGCATTAAGATCTAGTGAAATCACAGCTTAAAAAGCAATAACAAATTGTATGGAAACCTTCCGTCCAACCAATAAATTTAATTGAAAAATGAAAATCGGATACCTGCTTTTTAAAAAACCTTTTGACACGTGATTGACCCCTTGGGAACAGATTCCCCCAGCTGCCTCCGTCCCTGTGTGCACAGATCTCTCCCTACCATAAAGATGTGTCTTTACATCGTGATGGATAAGGAGGGCAGTACAAATAGAAATAAATCGTAGACCATCCTCGCCTCCTTACCAAACAGCTCATTGGCCTAAGCCCGCAGTCGGCAAGTTACCGAGTCAACAGTCTCAATTATAAACACTCCACCCCTTGGGTTCCTCTCGCCCACTGCCCCATAGGTGCCCGCCTCACCGAGGGCGCGGGAAGGTCCGCAGAGTGTCATTCTGCGAACAGTTAAAAATTTCCGAGGCCCAGGAAAGAGGTGGGCGGGCCAGGCCTGGGCGGAACTGACCCCGAGAGACCGCCCGAGGCTCCGGGGGAGGGCCCGAGCGGGCCTCGCCTCCGACCCGCAGCCATCCACAGGGCGCGGAGCCTGCGGGACCTCCCCCCGCGCGGCGCCCTCCCGCCCCCCCCCGGCCCCGGGGGAGGGGCGCGAAGCACACCCCTCCCCCACGGGCACGGCTAGGCCGTCGCGCCCCGCCCGGGGAGCCCCGGGCCCGCGCCCACCCTCTGCGCGCGGGCCCGGGCCCAGGCCCCGGGAGTGGGGGGGGGGGCGTCGGTGCGGGCAAGAGGGTCGGCCCGGCAGCGATACCAACCTCGCTGTTGAAGGTTTTCACGGCCTCCATGTTGTCTGTGCGGAGGCCCCGAGCCCGGCGGCGGAAGAGGCGGCGGCCACTGCACTGGGAGGGGAGACCGAAGCGCGGGCGCCGGCGGGAGAGCGGCCGCTGCGATCCGGGCGGGCGCGGAAGGACAGGCACTGGCAGGCGAAGCTCCTCAGGGGCAGCGAGGCCCCGGCATGGCCGCTGGGGCGGGCGGAGCGCCGGTCTGGGAACACAGGCGCTGCCGGGGCGGGTCGGCGGGGGAGGGGCTGGCGCGGCGCCTTCTCTTCTCCGCCCCGCTCGGTCTCGGTCCCCCAACCGCAGGCCCCGTCCCTACTCTCACCACCCCCTTTCTTCCTCTTCCTCCCACGGGCTCCTGTTTCACCTTCCCGCCGCTTGGGCCGCAGGAACCAGCATCGCACGGCGAAGACAGAGGAGGAAGCGCTGGCAGCGGCGGCTGCGGCATCCAATATGGCGGACACGATCGGGCCGCGCACCTCGGAGTCGGCGGTGCCAGCCAGCGCGCCCCCTGGCGACTGGACCGCGCGGGCCCGGCGGCCGCGCGGAAACCATCGAGCCAGAGCCGGCCAGAGCGTCGCCGCCCGCAGGCCCGATTGCGGGGGGCTACTCGCGGCCGCTCGCCCCCGCCCCCGCCCGGGGCGCGGGAGCGAGCGCTGCAGAACTGCGGAGCGCTAGCGGCGGGCGGGCAGTGTCCCGCGCAGGAGGCCGCTTCTAAGCGCGGCTGTAGGAAAAATCTGAATGTGCCCGCTAAGTGGCCGATTCTGGGAACAACAGAATCTCCATTTCCGTTGTTCCCCTGTGGATTGGCTTCTGCAGGAGCGGCTTGGTTTAGTTGGTTTTTCAGAACTTTAGTGGACAGTGGCCTAAAGGTTATCTGCCAAAACAAAAGTTCCCAGTTTTTCATCTGGTGACTGTGTGCCCAAGCGGCGTAGGAACTTGGGGAGGAAATGTTAGAAATAAAATCTTCGGATCCGGATGAGGACAGGCGGGCAGGGCAGCTCGCACGCCCCAGCCCCGTGCAGGAAATGAACGCTGCGCAGGAGCCCGGTCTGGTGGGGCCCAGACAATGAGTGTGTGTGCCTGTGCGCGGCGGGAGCGGGTACCAGAATGCACACCATCGGGGTAGGTAAAGGAGAGTCCATCTTCGGGGAAGTTAATCCAAAGGAATTATGCCCTAGATTATTCGGAGTAAGAGGATGCATATAAAATATCCTAGACAGAATAAGACATGCTAGCAAAATGCCTTCGCTCCGGTTTCCTGCAATAATCCATACCAGTCTGAGAACTAACATTTATTTGAAGTTAAAATTTGGGGGTGTATCACTTGACCCTTAAACACTATTGTCCTCTTGTTGAAAGTCGTTTTTCAACAATCCTCCCCAGCTCCACGAAAAAGGAATAGAGGACAGGAACAGGAGAAATTTCCGCCGGGGGATTGATGGAATCAAGATTGCTCCTAAGAGCTGAGCCCAGAGTCACATATAATAAAAGGGAAGGCCTTCCAGACATTTTAGGTGTTAAGTCTATTTCACTGGACAGCTTTGTTATAGGGGCTGGCTACTCAGAAGGTAAAAGGGGAAACCTAATGAGAAAAAGCTTACATTTTTAACCTCATGTATCTCAAATGCTGACACAAAGTTCTCTGTCTCCACTGCCTGGGTTCATATGCCTAGCCATGATGTTTTCTTGCCAACACCTGCAGTAGCCTAACTATTCCCTTGTTTATCTTGTCATTATTCATTTTACAGACAGTAGCCAGAAAGATTTTTTTAGACACATCAGATCGGGTCACTCCCTTGCTTAAAATAAAATCCCTTTAATGCACTTCCATTGCAACTCCAATACTGAGCCTCTTGCTCTGGCCTGAAGGTCCTGAAAACCACAAAGCATACCACTTTCCCCTCCCTCTGCCAATGGTTCACACTGGCCATGTCTGTGTTACTTAACAACCAACATGCATCATTTTCTTACTGGGGACATCTGTCTGTGCATTTCCCCCAGTCAACCTGTTGTTGCTCATGTTCTTTTCATAGCTGACCCTGCAAGAGGTGTCCTAATCACTCACTCCAAAGTAGAAGGTTGGGACTTGAGGAAGTGTGGTACTCAGTTCTGTTCAAAGCCAGGTTCTCCTAATCAAAATTTAGCACTTGGGCCTATGAGAGATTATTTATTCAGTCACACATAGTCAAAGGTTAATTACATAGGCTTGAATGATTAAAGTGCAATTTGAGCTAGAGTAAAATCAGTTGTTAACATATTACACAATTTGATTTAATAAAGTTTTCATACGCACAAAGATAGTAGAGAACATATTTCCATCAGGGAAAGAGGGAAGAAAAGCAGAGGACAGAACAAATGCACTTAAGATGAGGAGATAAAGCAATAGGGAGAAGGATCAAGAAATATTAGAAGGGGCTAGCATCCAGGGGCCCAGACTGTACAAAGTTTGTAGGCAATGTGAAAACACCAGAATTCATCTGTATTACATGTATGTGTGTATATATGTATGGATTAGGATGCTAAGAATTCACCATTAAGCTACAGATCTTTCTCATGTAATCCAAAGTTAGGAATGCAGCTGAGCTTAAAAAAAGGGACATGAATCAAAATACAGAAAACATACCCTCTACTTCCTGTGTTTCTTAGCAAACTCTGTTTTACATAATGGAATGTGACTAGTACTCCTGATTTTATAGTTTTCGAAAGCCAGAGGATCTGAAACCTCTCCTCAGTTTCAGATTCCTAAGGGAAGCAAGGAATTTAATTGACCCTATTTGGATTAGTTGGGCCATGGCCAAAGAACTGAAGACCACTAATTTACATTCTGAAAAAACACTATATGGGAGATAGTGGGTGGGAGTATTCCGGCCACTGAAAGAGATAATACAAATTATAAATTACAACACTCACTTCCTAGAGTTTATGGCATTCTCCTGTGAATGGTTATTGACCTGTCCTCTAGGACTAAATCATTTCTGGGAGTAACTCATGGGGTCTAATTCAGCCACAGCCAGGAGTCAGACTCAAAGTAGCCTAGAGAAGTACTTCCCATAGAACTTCTAAGATTATGGAAATGTTCTGTATCTGTGTCTGTCTTGCAAAATTCAGTAGTGCCAACCTATTGTACGACTGAAATGTGCCTAGTGCAACTTAGGAAAATAATTTTTGACTTCATTTCACTTTCACAGTTTAATATATGGCTAGTGGCTACCACATGGGAAAGCACACGTCCAGCTAAAGATGCTGGCTCCCATCCATGCATGTTAGTTGTGACCCACATGCCCAGCACAAACCACTTAGAGGAGGAAAAGTTCATTTTGGCTCATGGTTTCAGAGGGTTCCATCCATGGTTGGCCAGACTCCATTGCTCTGGGTCTGAAGTGAGGCAGAACTTCATGGTGGAAGGACATATTAGAAGAAAACTGCTCACCTCATAGTAGCCGGGAAGCAGAGAGGACCAGAGAAAAGATAGTTTCCAAGGACATGTCCCCCAGTGATCTGCTTGCTTCAACATGACCACAAACCCTCCCCCCACTACAATCCCCACCAGTAATCCGTTCACCTATCAGTGGATTAATCCACTGATGAGGGCAAAGCCTCATGATCCAATTTCTTCCTCAATGTTCCACCTCTGAACATTCCTGCGTTGGGATCAAACCTTCAACACATGACTTTGGGAGACATTTCACATCCCAACCATAACACATGGACAGATTTCCTAGATAAGGTGAAATCATTATGAAGTAACACTGAGCAAAGAAAAAGAAATCTTCAATCATTAGCTATCAGGAGGAATGCTATACGTATATAAGTTATTTTCAAACTTGGAGGGGGCGGGGAATACCCAGAAAATTGTCTAAATCTGAACTGATAATTCTCTCTGAATTGGAAAAATGAAAACTTGAGACCCTCAGGAAACAAGGATTCTGGAATTGCTTAGTAAGTTAAGGTATAGAAACAAAATGGAATATTGTACAGGCAATATAAATGATTATAAACTAATTGTGGGAAATAGCACGGTAATTCCTCAGAAACTAAACAGAACCGGACATGGTGGCACACACCTCTAATCCCAGCAGCTCAGGAGGCTGAGGTAGGAGGATTGTGTGTTCAAAGTCAGCCTCGGCAGGATAATCACCTGAACCCAAGGGTCCAAGGCCAGCCTGGGAAACATAGTAAAACCCATCTCAAAAAAATATGTATTTTTAAGACAACAAGAGGAGATTAGGACACAGATACAAAGGGAAATGCACATGAAGAGACAGGGAGAAGATAGTCATCTACAAGCCGAGGGGAAAGGTCTGAGAAGAAACCAACCCTATGAACTCTTGACCTTGAACTCCAACCCTCTAGAATTATGAACAGAAGCCTGCTGTTCAAGCCACTCAGTCTGTGGTGCTTTGTTGTTGTAGCCCCAGCACACTAGTACAGGTGAAACACGAAACTTTGGAACATCTCTAAAAGCATATAGGCTGAAAGCAGTGAAGAAACTTGCCAATAGTTTTCATTTTTCTGGGAAGATATTTGGATTTCTTTTTTAGAGTATTGTTCTTCATCTGGAGTTGCTATTTTTGTTTACAAACATAAATCCACAATCTTATTCTGAATGAAGCTCAACACATGCTATATTTGTCTACATTGTTGGCAAATTTATTAAGCCGATTTGGAGTTCAGTTTTGGCATGAGGAAAAAGAGATTTTCACCTCTTCCTGGGCCTAGAGAGGATCACAGCACCTTGACTTGACATAAGGACACATTGGTCAAACATCCTCCCATGATCTGCAGGCAATCCAATCCCTGAGGTAGAGCAGTATGTGGGGGAGCCACTAGAATTTTCTTCCTTTCAGGGAGTGTGGCACCTGCAAAGTTTTGCAGGTAAGATGGAGGCTTGGAATAATGTCATCTGTGCCTTAAAGGAAGATTAGATCACTTGGTTGCTTTGCAATTGCCGTGGCTCAGTTTCTCACTTAACCTGTTACATGAATGAATAATACATCACATTCCTCTAGATATGTATTGTATGTTTCTAAGTCTTTTCTTCTAGAATTTCCTTTGACTTTCTGCTTTCACGTTTTGACTATTCAAGTTATTGGATATACAGAAATGGATGAGACACAGCGATGGGAATGTACAAAGGAAAGGTGG